ATGTATGTCTTTATGTGCAACCTGTGTGTATCTGGGGTATGTGGGGCCTCCAGCTTCTACTTGCAGCTGCTACTCGACCTTCTGGATGATGCTCATATCATCTCATATGCTGGTTGCTTTGTGCAGATGTTTTTTATGTATGCTTACATCTTCTGCCAGTTCAGCAGTCTGACCGTCATGGCATACGACCGCTACCTGGCCATCTGCCAGCCGCTGCGTTACTGGGCTCTCATGACTGTCCAGAAGGTGGCCCTGCTGTTGCTGCTTATCTGGTGTCTGTCACTGCTGGAAACAGCTGTTGGCATTGTCTTGATTGCCAGACTTCAACTCTGCAGCCACACCATTGCCAGAATCTTCTGTACTAGTTGGGAGGTGGTGAAACTGTCCTGCTCTGACACCACAGCCAACAACCTGTATGGCATCGTGCTCATGTTTCTGCACTCTCTGCAATTCTTAGTCATCATAGTCTCATACGTCCACCTGATCCGAAGTGCCGCCCGGTCTCAGACAGACCGTAAGAAGTTTGTTCAGACCTGCATGCCTCACTTATTCTCGCTGCTCGTCTTCACTGTCTCTGTGTTCTTTGACACACTATACTCTCGTTATGGGATCAACTCCATGCCGGCTCTGCAGAACGTGCTGGCTGCAGAGTTCCTCGTGGTACCGCCCATCGTCAACCCCATCATCTACGGCATGAACCTGCAGCAGATCAGGACACGGATCCGCATCTGGTTCAACTTAGAAAACCCTCAGAGAGCATTCTTTAAGTAAAGTACACAAGGATAAATAATAATTTTTAAAAAATGTGGCATCCTGTGTTCATGGTTCTGCTGGTAGAAAAACTGTTACAAGACCGTTTTCAAAGTGAGTTACAATAAATACAAGCATATAAAAAAGGTATCAGGGTATGTCTGCTCTACAAAAAGGACAGTATCCTAATTACATGAAAAAGGTTATCAAATTCAGATTCAGTCCAGCATTACAGTAGCAGACCAATGTTTTGTTTTCCTGTCTTTGTATGACCTTCATTAGACTGATGTGTTGCTGCATTGGCGAAAATACAGATCTGGACAAAATTGTCAACAACTACTTAGAGTTTTTTACTTTTGTCAGATTAAAGTAATTTCTCTGAGCATTGTAGGTTGTTTTTTTTGTTTTTTTTTAAACAAGGAGTGTCAACAATTTTGTCCATATTAAAATAAATATGTTTGTGTCAAATAAAGTCGACTTAACTAGCCCCCCCGTCTGGCACTTAAGGTCTATTACTGTTGAGCTGTGACACCCTGATGAAGAGAAATATCAGCTGCTCCCATCAACTAACCTGACTCCGCCAGATGGATTTGCTCCGCATATTCATCTGGAAACCTTCCGTTGAAGTAATTTTGGAAAG